CTTGGGCCAACATATTAGTTTTTTGGAATGCACTATAGATATGAAATTTGGAAGGAGGCCGCTTTGATCATTCAGAAGTAAAAACTTACATGTTGGAAATACACAGAAGTCAGCAATATATGTGGTAGCTTATTTTAACAATGTAAATGTATTTCCATGTATTAAAAGCCTGCTAGAATGTTTTCATTTTAATTTTTGTACATTTTATGAACAAAAATAAATTTCCTAGGCACATATTCGAAAATCAAAAAAAAAATACTTTTTTTCCAAACTTATTTCAGCTTAGTTCTTACCATCTCTACCCTCATTAGGATGGTTATACACTTCATTTATAACACAATTAGGTCCATTTCCTATCATGTATAATCCATAGTACACCCACCTTATGGGTTGATTTTTATAAACCTATTTCTATTTGTTTGTATGCTTGAAAAAGCATTGGTAAGTTTTGACGTGCCCAAGGGATAGTAATGTGTAACCAGGTTCAAGAGCTCTTATATTTAGCATGCAAAAGAAGTAAATGATACAACTTTTGTTCTTTAGGAGGTGATAATTAATGTAGGTTGAAGGAAGCACACATACATGAATTGAAAGAGTAATTATAAATATAATCTTACATGCATTATATAAAGCAGACTGTTAATGATATAATTATTAAAAGAACAGAATGTCATAATTGAAGTCTGATAGAATGAAATAAGAAAGGCTTCTTGTAATTGAATGTTATATTTTATCTTACGAGAAGAGTGATATCACCCTAAATTTGCCATTTCTTTTTAAAGATGAAAATCTACAGCTGGTAAACCATGAAGCAAATGCTGTGGCAGTGGATGTTGTTCCTCATGTTGACAACCCAACCTTTGAAGAAGATGAAACTCCTGCTCCAGAAACTGCTGTTCAAGAAACTAAATCATAAAATCTGTGTTAATACAAAACTTGAAATTTAGTGATAACAGGACTGCCAATCAGGGCCTAGTTTACTCTTAATAAACTGGATAAACTTAATAAAGTAAAAATTATACTGAAAGTACTGAGATGACTAATATTATACTGTAGTTAAATGGCTTAAATATTTAACCTGTTAACTTTTTTCCACAAATACATTATAATGTTTTCATAGGCAAACTTCCTCTGAATAGTGATAGCAACATTTTTAAACATTCAAGACTGTCTTCAAGTAGTCATGTTTTTTATTTGTAACAATTTTCTTATAAAAAACATGTTGCTTTTGAAATGTGGAATAGATATAATCATTTTATTTTATGATAGTATCTTAATTAAAGATAACACTACTTTAGCTTGGGCTATCTGTGTCAGGGTTTTTCTCCAGGTGCTTATATTGATCTGGAATTTTAATGTAAAAAGCAATGCAAACTTAGGCTAGTTCTTTATGAAATGTCTATTTAAACTACATTAAGTTGATAGAACAAGATTAAAGCAAACCACTTAAATGTTTTCTTTTTAAAATTAGGCTAAATGTTTTTTGTGTGTCAAGCATAGTTCATCAGAGAATATGGACTGAATTGATTGCTATACTAGTGACACAAATTTGACACAAGATCATAGACAAAAAACTTTCTTACAAAAATATTGTATAACTATTTCTCAAACTTGTGGGATTTTCAAAAGCACAGTGTATAAACTACCATACTATTTGGAAATGGTAATGACAAACTCATACAAAAATTGCTAATTGACCTTTGTGCATGAATTAGTCTAATGAAAATGTTCTGTAAAATTAGTCTGTAGAAAATGTTTCCAAACAATGTTAAGTTTGAAAATTGAGTTTACATTTGGCCTATATGGGCTAAAATTATATTAAGCTAAAATTTTGTCCATTTAGCTATAATTTTGTGAATGCATTATTTTGCTGTTTCGAAAAAAAAATGGGGGTGGGAATTCCAGGTGCCTTAATATAAAGTTTGAAGCTTCATCCACCAAAGTTAAATAAAGCTATTTTAAAATGCACTTTATTGGTATTCTGCGTGGCTTATCTTTTATTTTAGTTTAGTTTCCAGTGCAAATTCCAGCAGAATGCAGACAAAAATAGAACAGATGTGTATTTTTGTTTGCTGAATGTAAAATGGATAAAACCATTACATTCTTACACACTGATTTGAAATGCTGTAAATATGTCCCAATTTGTATTGATTCTCTTTAAATATAAAATGTAAATAAAATATTCCAATAAAAGTTTGTGTCTTGTGTTTAGTTAACCAATCATATAATAGCCTTTGATATCTCATATGCCTGGTTTTGAGAGAAAAAAGATAGTTGGATGTAAAAAACTGATGTATTTGATGAATGAAAACTGTTTAGTATGACATTTATTTATAGGTTTCATAATGAAGAATGGAAGCATTGACATTTTATCACTGAACCGACCAGGAATTAGCTCCGGATATCAGGAAACAAATGGAGTTGACCAGTAATATTACATAATTTTTAAATTTTTTTTTCAGAGTCATTTTTTTCGATTTGTCTCTTTTCTTTTCTTTTCTTTTCTTTTCTTTTCTTTCTTTTTTTTTTTGAGGAACCAGGGATTGAACTCAGGCCCTTGTGCTTGCTAGGAAAGCATTTATTCCACTGAGCCATTTCCCTGGCCCTTACGTAAATTTTTAAAAAATCTTGACGGCAGTCCATATTTATGCCTTTCATGACGAGGCTCTTTAAATATTTTTAATTTTTCTTTCACTTTCTCTTTGGCAGTATGACCATTAGGATGCTTTTAAATAAGTTAAATGCATCTCTACTTTGTCAAAAGTGAAAAATATGCAGATGCTTCAAACACTTCAGAATCATGGTTATCAAGCCAAATATACACAAGTCTTATGTGACAGCACATTAGGGACGTGTGTGATACTTATATATTTAGAGAATTAAATTTATTTCAAATTTTGTGTTTTTTAACTTTTTTGAAATATTAACAGCTGTAGTGAATTATAACCTGCATAAAAATTTACCCATTTTAAATATAAAGCTGGATGATGTTTACCAGATACAGTATTGAGCATACCACAATCTCCAAAACTTCCCTCATGTCCATTTCATATCCATTTGCAGTTAATTCATGCTTCCATTTTCAGCCTCACATAATTACTAGTGTTTTCTGTCTCTATAGGATTGTGTGTTCCAGACATTTCATATGAACAGAATCATACAGTATGTAGACATTTTATGACTGACTTCTTTCAAGTTTCCTCCATATTGTAGTATATCTGTAATTCATTCTTTCTCATTACTGGACATTACATTGTATGGCTTCTCCATGTTTGCTTGGTCATGTATCAGTTAATGAATACTTGGGCTTTTCCAACTTTTTGCCATTATACACAATATACATATGTACAACTCTTTGTGTAGATGCATTTTGGGTTGTTTTGGGTATATATAAGGAGATTAATTTCACACCACTTATGAACTGTCTTACTGTCTGCTACTATCAATTGATATTTTTAACATCATCATGAGACTTTGTATTATACTCTTACATGATAGTCAAACTATAAACTTATTCTTTCAACAGTGATAATAGATAATGTTTGTTTATATCAGGAGTCTCCCAAGTTAGGAAGGAGGGGTTTTCTCAATATTTGTATGCTTATGTCAAACTCAGGGTATGTTATCTTAAATATACATGGTTCACAAGAAAGACTAAAAATATATTAATAGAGACTATTTGGTACAGGGTCTCACTATGCAGCTTGGACTTGTACTGATCCTCCTGTTCCCTAGCACTGGGATTGCAAGCGTATGCCAGGTGGCCCAGTTTTTGTGGCCAGCTTGGCGCCTGGGGCCAGCACAGCATGCAGTACTGGGAATTGAACCTGGGTCCTTGAGCTTACCAGGCAAGCACTTAGAGCACTGAGCTGTCTCCCAAACTACTATAGAGGCTATCTAAATGCTAGGAACATTCCTTCTTATTTTATATATCTAGTTTTTATCTATTATGAAATATTTTAATTACAGATCTTATTACAATAGCCTAAACAAATCTTAACTAATTACTTTGCTCATTGCTTCTATCTGTAGTTAATTTCTTTTTTGTAGTGAATTTCTTATATTTTAAGCATATTAAGTAATATAAAATTTAAATTAATAGTACAGCATAAGAGTAAATATTTCATGATTATAGTGGGTACTTTGACCTCCACAGATCAATATTAATTATCCTCAACCATCAGATCCAATTTGGTGAAAAGTCTGAGAAACATTACCCAATAGTTCTCAACATTTTTCTATGAAAATATAAGCTCTTGGCTGGGGAGATAGCTCAGTAGAATAAGTGCTTGCCTGGCAAGCACAAGAGCATGAGTTCAATCTGCGGTTCCGCAAAAAAAAAAAAAAAAAAAAGAAAAGAAAATCAAATGTGAGCCATTCATAGGCATACCTAGACTTCGGTTGTTGAGAGAATAGTATAATTAAGCCTTGGTACTAATGTTTAGTGGCAATTTCCCTTTCTATCTGTAATTCCAACTGACATTCTCAATTGTTCTCAACCACTACCCCAGAAAACTTTAATGACCATTTTTTTATTTAAAACATTTTTAAAAGCAATTCAGTCATCTAAAATTTATTAACAGAGCTTTTTATTTTTAAAAAGGTGCCTATGTAGGTCCTAATGGAAATATGATTAATCACCCCCAATTTTCAAGTAGTGTTTTTAATTTACTTTAAATCAGTACATCTAAAACTTTACCATGCCTACAAATTACCTGGGATCTTGTCAAAATGTACATTCTGATTCAGCATGGTCTAATGTAGGGTCTAACATTCTGAATTTCTAGCAAGCCGTCTGATGATCAGATGTTGTTGATCCAGAAAGCACATGCTGAGTGGCAAAGCTTTAAATGAGTCTCCCCAGTGGTACTCAAGTTTTGAAGTGTACTGCTTCTGTACCTACTATTCAGTATACAAAAGTATTAACTAAGATACTGAACTTTATTTAAAATAAAAAGCCAAGTGAGACCATGCACACACACACAAAAAAAAAAAAACCTAAAATAAAAAGCCAGTATGTTTCTGAATGGCAGCCTCGCCTTTTCATAGGGCTTGGAATTGGTATCCAAGGATTCCTAATACCTTATTTCAGGTATTTGAGACTTTGATTTAAAAGACTGAGTGAGCTGAAACACTAACCTCTGGATCAATGTGATATTATTCATCCCTGCATGGTACGTTACAAGGTCCATATATATTTGCCATGGATAAATCAGTAAACAAGAACAGAAGCAGACAGATGAGCACAGAAGCAATTGCAATAATATATCAAGGAAGGAATGTGAGGCTAATTTAAAGCCATAATAGGAAAATGGGATGGACTTTTGAAAGGGAAACATTGGTGCATACATGTGCATGTGTATGTATGTGGGAGAGGCACAGAGGCAGAGACAGAAACAAACTGATGGAGGTGGGTGAGTAGGAACCAGAAAAAAAAACAACCTGAAGATTATTCCAAGGTTTTTAGCTTGAACATCTTAATAACTAGTAGCGCTTAGGACCAAGAGAGCCTGGTAGGAGAAACAATAGCAAGAACAGAGGATTTGGGAGAAATAAATTTGACTTTGAGGTATTCATGGACCATGTCTATGAGCAATACAGTGTTTTGATTTGTAGTCAGATAAATCTAGGTTCTAGGTTCAAATCCCACTTCTTCCACTTGCTTAGCTATGTGATCTTAGAAAAGTAACTTCTCTGAACATTCACCTGTAAATATTAAAAATATATAAACTTATTAATTAAATAATACAGCATATATTGAGTATCAGTACAATACTAACAAGGATTTGCAATACTAACAAAGCGATTTGCAATACCAGTCCTTTTCTAAGCAATTATATACAAAATTAAACATTGCATAGAGTGACGTTTTATTTCTAAAAGTGCTTTCAAAGAAATACTTTTATTGCACAGGCTTGGAATAGATTGTTTATCAAGGCAAAAATTTACACAACAGAAGTAACTTAATTTTAAAAAAAGCATTTTCTGTACATAACACAAAATATCTATTTACTAAAATGGTGGCTAAAGGCCCTGCTCTGAGCCAGACATAGACCTAATTCCACAACAGGAAGCATGTGGATGTATCTGAATGCAGTTGCAGAGTACCAAAGAAATAAAAGCCTATCCAATTCTGAACATCCCTTGCCACAACTATAAGCATTCCAGAAAAGAATGTGGTTTGATGAGGACAGAAATTTTGAATGGGAAGAAAAAGGCAAAAGAAATGGGAACACTTTACACCTCTTTGTATTTGCAGGATTTACTTGTGAAGAAATGCTCTTCATTAGTACACATCCAAATTAGGACGGCTGGGCTGGAGAGATAGCTCAGTGGGCTCAGTGCCTGCCTGGCAAGCACAAGGACCCAGATTCCATCCCCATACTGCAAGCCATGCCAGCCACTGAAACCAGGTGTGGCACATCCTTGTAATCCCAGTGCTGGGGAGGCTGAGACAGGAGGAGCACTACTAGTTCAAGCTGCCTAGTGAGATCCTGTACCAAATAAATAAATAAATAAAATAATTTAAAAAGCAAATTGGAGGGCCCATGAGAAAATGCAGCAGGTAAAGACCCTGCTTAGGCAAGTGCAAGGGCCGGGGTTCTATCTCTGGCATCACATGCCACACCAACACCACCCCTGGGCACAGTGAGCCAGCCACTGAGACCAGGCCTGGTGAGCCACATCTGTAATCCCAGTACTGGGGAGGCTGAAAACAAGAGGATCATTAGGAGTCTGAGCTGCCTAGTGAAACCCTGTGCCAAATATTTAAAAAAATTGTGATGGTTTTCCCAAGGTTACACCACAGTCTGGGCTCTAGGATGATTGCCTGTTTCCATACTTTTCAGGGGCTACCTTAGGACCACTTACTATCCTTTGATAGAGTGAACCCGAGAATACCATTTTTCTCACCACAAGAAAAACCCTTGTTTGTTGAACACATCTGTTTCACTAGAACTGGGCCACATCTTCAAGGGTTAAAACAGAAAAGCTTCTTCTGGACAGGGTTCCTTGCCTCCAGGACTTGAAATCTGCATGTGCCTCACTCATGGGTTTTTTTTTTTTTTTAATTTTTTGTTTTCTGTATTTTAGGGAAGGGTCTACAGGGTGTTCACAGTCTCACTACTAGATCAGACTCGTAGTGATTCTCCTGTTTACAGCCTCCCAAGTGCTGGGATTACAGGTGCATGCCACGCAGTCTCAATCCTGTCTCAGTGCCCTGGGGGTGGGGCCAGCACAGCAGGCCCTGGGATTGAACCTTGAACCCTGGCCCCTGCATCTGCTTGCAGGCGATTTAATCCGCTGAGCTATGTTTGTTTTGTTTGGTTTTTTTTGTTGTTGTTGTTTTGGAGTTTTGTTTTTTGTCATAAGATCTTGAGGCTTCATTCTCAAAACATCTTGCCAAGAACCCCTTGTTGGTACATGGCCTCCCAACTGCTTCCTTTCTGTCAATCTAATTATGCCTTGAGTGCACTCTAAGTCTGGAGACCATAAGGGTAATAAAGACAGTGCTGATTGCTCACAGCAATGTCATGCAAATTACTGACTTAATTCACCTTAGTGGTTGAGTAGGTGTGCACCACTCAGAACACAAAGAGGTGAAGGCTGCCCTTATGGGGTTTGTAAAAGAGCTCAAAGAAAGAAAACTATCCTGATAAATTTGCTTAGTTTCAAAAGAAAGGTGGACTAGAGAGTTCCTGAGGCTTATTACAGTAATTACACAGAGGCGGTAGTGAGTGAAAGGAAAGTGCATGGCAGAGAGGAAATATGTGCCTTCTGGAGATTTTATGTTCTTTCTCAATGAGCCGAAAGAGCTCAATCTTGGCATGAATTTTGAATTTAGGTAAGGTATCACTGACTCTGGGACCTTGGATAAATCACCTCACTAGTTAATGCTTTCCTTTATTAACGTGAGACGTGGCAAAGATCTACTTCACAGACTTCAGTGAAGATTACCCGAGATCTCCTGAGTACTGTACATAGCTAAATGCTGGTTGCTGCTACTGCTGCTTCCAGGAATGAGTGGTTTCTCTAAAATTCCAGAAACTTTGTTGCTTTCCTTGCTGTAAAAGGTTGATGAGCAAGCAAGCAAGATCGTTCTACTTGGGGATCCCTTATTTGAACAACAACAAATCCTTAAACTTTAGACAGGCAACACACTTAACTAGCGGCGGACAAAACACTTAACTGGTGGCGCGACTGGCTTTGAAAGCATCTCCTACCCAGTACTCGCCCCAATGTATTGTGGGAAGTGTAGTCTCGAACTGCAGTTGCGTGAGTATAGAAAAGAGAATAGAAAACTACAACTCCCAAAGGGATAAAGGAGCGGCGCTATTTCCCAGTCGGGCGGTAGCGCTGTGGGAGGGAATTGGCAACCTCTCTGCCTACGTGGGAGAGAAGAGAGGGTTGGGGGAAGTGTGGAAAACCTGAACCCCAGCCGCTGTAGCTTGAGGAAGATTTGGTGGGAGAAGTAGAGGGGGGAAAAACAGGTTGGAGGTGAGGTGAGGAGGGCAAACAAATCGTTGCTATCCGGCGACACAAAGTTCTTCGCGATGTGGCTAAAGCCTGAGGAAGTGCTTCTGAAAAATGCGCTGAAGCTGTGGCTGATGGAAAGGTCCAACGACTACTTCGTGCTGCAGCGGCGTCGAGGCTATGGGGAGGAAGGCGGAGGTGGGCTCACAGGTAAGTACTGGCCAGCTCCAGTTTCCTCGGGGTTGTGTTCACTGTAACTTAAAAGGTGGCAAGAAAAACAGTTACACGTCGCCACCCGCCGCCAATCCTAAAACCTGGGCAGAGGGACGGGACTTCTGCTCCTGCCACCGCCTTTTTGCCTTTACCGAGTCCTGAGAAAGGCTCACTGGAACAGCAGTTGCTTTGGGGTGGGACAGAAGAAGGGAGAAAGGATTCTTTCTCAGGCCAAGGAAGAATCAGAGGTGCTCCATCGGTTACCATGGGGGAGCGGGCTGATGGCGAGTGGTCCAGCTAGACTGGTCTCATTTAGGCGATCAGTTCTCCGCTGTTGTGCACTTAACTTTGTTTTCCTCACAAAACCAGTATCAATAATCACCACGTTGGGGAGTGTTAAGTATAGTGGTGGGAGACACAGGAATGTTAAGAAAGAGGCGCCCCAACCACGTCCTGATAGGCTTTAAATGAGAGATTGAGTCAGGTGTCCGGTAAGATGGAAGAGTAGGGCTCTGAATTGCTGCCCTCTCCTAATTTAGCATCTTTACTCTTTGTCCAACTTTTCACTCCCAGGGATTGCCGCTAAGACTATGTATAACGTCCTGATAAGTTTCTCTCGAGTGTTTGACGTTGCTCATTGTTTCAAAGCCACGATTTAACCAAACCAATTAAACAAAGAGAAATTCAACCTTTCCTGTCTAATCCACTGTACCCCATACTTAGATTTAAAATTAAGAGCTGATTTTTGTCCAAGTATCTAACGTCTTTCAAGAATGTAATTTTCAAATCTCCCTTCATAGGCAGGGGCATTCAAACTTTTAAAGGTTAGGGAGACAAAAGTTCTTTTTCATTATAATGTCTGGATTGGTATTTTGTGCTTGAACTGGTACACCAGGCATGGTTTAGGCCTTGTAATGTAAGGGGAAAGGGAAAACCCCCCAAATAAGCATTTCACTTTTCCTCTTATCTCTTACTTGTTAAATGTCATTTGTCAAATTCTTTCATTTACTCAACATTAAGCTATCACTCTGTGCCACAGAAATGTGTGGACAATAAAATAATGAGATTCTGTTTCCTGCCTATAAAGTGCTCATAATCTGGCTAGGCAGAGGGGGTGGAGTGGAGGAAGACCCAATAGTAAACCAGGCAGATTATAATTAGACCCAGATGACAAGAGTTGGGTCAAGATGCATGAAAGTGTTGAGGTTGATTTTTCCTCTGTAAACTGGTGCGCATCTCAGAGCGTTGAGAGGATACATGGAAGATAGATAATAGGCACAGCTCAATATATGTTAAGATAGTGATAAACATATGCTGTTATTCACTTTTTTCAAACCACCTCCAAGGTGAAGAGAATTCTGAGATTTTACAGAATTTTTTTTTCCATCTCACAAGACCTAGATATCTCATCCAGGCTCTAACAGGCTCCTTTAAAAAAAGAAAAGAAAAAAGAAAAGAAAGAAATCTACTTCAGATTTTTGCAAGAGTCAGGGAGATAGCTCAGTAGAATAAGCAGCATCCTGGGTTCAATCCCCAGTACCGCAAAAAAAAAAAAAAAAGAAAAGAAACAAGAAAAAGAAATCTTAACAGGCTCCTTTGGAAAATATACTAACAAAAATAATTCTTGAAGCTTAACATTTTTGTTATTTTCTGATTCTTAAAAACTACAAGTGTTATTTTGCAGAACAATTTCCATTTAACAGATGCAGACTTTTACTAGGTTTAAATTGGAAAATCAATTATCACAGCCATCTAAATTATCCATTTCAGTCCATTGAGAACAGGACAGGATATATGCACTATTTAAAATAGATCTTCTAGCCAGCCCTGTGTTACAGCCTCAGGAGTAGTCTTATAATGTATTTTGATTCCCCATAATTTTACTTGCCCAGAAGTTTTACTGGTGCTTCAGCCTAAATTTACCAAAGAAGTGTATTTTACTTCATACAACTGTGTTATAAAAAATAATAGGTAAATCAATGAGAATAAAGTCACTGTAAAGCAGTATTTAATGGTATTTTTCTTGTTATAAGCTTCCTTTGCACAGTCATTATTTTCTGTGCTTGATTTTTTTCATTTATAATGCTTTCCTAAATCATGGGCCAGCTTTACCCATTTCTTTTCTCCATCTCACCCACACTTTTATTAGTTTCCTTTCGCTGGAATGGGAAAATTTGAAGAAATAAACCAAGACTTTCTCTTGCACATGTATGTCATGACTAGTGATCAGTCTGTTGCTGTGGTGATTGTTTTGTATGTCCATGATTGTTTTACTTAAGGTATTGGAAGATGCTTGATATTAAGATAAATGGATCAGAAAGTAGCAAAGTGATATTTTTAAAGTTTAATTATTTTTGATCCAGAGCAAAAGTGTGTGCTCATGTGTGTGACTCTCAGCTAATGTATTTTACTTAAAATTGTGACATTAAGAGCTTTGCTGTGTTGTAAATAAGTCCACACTTGGATTAGTTCTTATAAGAACTTGACTGTGTGCCAGCATAAGCTGGCCTTTGTCCATTTTGTTTTCTAAAACAAGTGTTATGTGCTACCCTTTTGTAAGATAACTTTATGCAGTTTGCTTAATGAAGAAAAGATAATCACGGAAATGTTAATGGTTGTACTTTCTTTATAATTTCATTTCTTTACCATGTAATAATTGGCAGTAACTGCAAGGAATGTAATGCCTTTAGGTATAAACTTGGTAATGATAGTTTGCTGCATTTCTTTTTCTAACACTGGAATACGAACAGCAGAAATAGGGGGGCCGGGGAGATGGCTCAGTGGAGTAAGCGCTTCCCTGGCAAGCGCAAGGGCCTGAGTTCAATCCCTGATTCCACAAAAAAAAAAAAAAAAGAACAACAGAAATTATGGAATGGTTATAAGAAGAGAATAGTTTTGAAGTCAAAATTCTGAGATACCATTTCTAAATTTTTGGAACACTTCTAGTGGGTAGATTACTGATCATTTACTTAACTTAGCTTGCTTAATTATCCTGGCTCACAGCAGAATGGAATATTTTGTGGAAATTTTTGTTACATATAAAGTGGTTTTGTAGATTATGTGATTTTCCTTCATTTAGAGAAGTGATTTTTTTTTTATTTTTGTAGTTACCTTACATTATCCTTGCTTCTGGTTGATAAAGGTAATTGCTTTTCTATGGTGCATAAATATAGCACCTGATTGTATATAATTAAAAATCATTTATGCATATTTGACTTATTCAACACAAATCAACAGTTTGCTCTGCTTGGCAGATGGTATCCACTACATGAGCTACATTCTATTAAGTAACCTAGTGAGTAGGATTTAGAAAGACCAACTAATAAGGAAGCTTTAATTTAGGAGATTGGTTGTATGAATTTTATTGTAGAATTTTTTCTACAGTTTGATGTCTGAACACTGTAAACAGGTTCTTGGTTGGTTGATTGATAATCACCCACAGTACAGAACAAAATTAGAAAATAAAATTTACTAAATTGAAGGATTTTTATATATTGTTTCTTTATCTCATCTTTCATCTTGGCAGTATTTGAAATTAAATCATCTGTAAAAAAAAACTATTCATTTTCTCATATTTATATAGACTTTACAAACCACTGCACAGATGATTTGTCATAAATACATATAAGATTGCCTTCTACAAAAACCTTTTAGTAGAGGGTGTGGTGTCCCATACCTCTAATCCCAGCACTGAGAAGGTGAGGCCCAAGTATCAGCATGAGTTGAAGAACCCCCTGGGCAGCCAATGAGTTCAAGGAGACACCTAGTCTCAAAAAACAAAAACAAAACTGAACTACAAAGCAAGACTTTGTCTCAAAAAACAAACAAATAAGTAATTAAACCTCAGTGACTATCCCTTGAAAATATAAAACCTTTCTCCTTTTATCTCACAACCCATAGCTCAAGGAGTCCAACTCTGAAAATGTTTCCAATATGTATTTATTAGCAAAATATCCCAAATACTATGCACACAAAAGGACCAGCATATAAATATTTAGTACCAAGGCTGAGGCTATAGCTCAGTAGTAGAACATTACCCTAGCATGTACAAAGCACTCCTCAGTTCAAACCCTAGCATCACAAAAAAAGAAAAGGAAAATATTTAATATCTAAGTGGTGACAGATGACATTTATTTTAGATAAGAAAAAGTCTACTCCTTCATATTCGTTCATTCAACTTCCTTCACTGACTTTCTTCCTCTCTTCCTGTCTTCATGTCATTTAAACATTAAATTAGTAAAATATAATTTTGATTTACTAAAAGAAAATCCCACTGGACAATGTGAAGAGAAGGCAGTTCACTTTGTGTGCCCTCTTCCTCCCTGGAACATCTTGATCTCTATGAAATAAGCTAAAAAATTTCATTTACAGATCTCTGGATGGAAAGGGTAACCTTGTAGGAGGTTTTGAAAAATGAAGAATGGTCAGCATCATGGCATTTAAGTCTCATTAGAATGAAGTCTACCTGAATCATTTTCTACTTACATCATAAATCTCTACATCTTACCACTCCCCTCCCCCAAAAAACTCAGCCTTCTACACACAACATACATCATTATGACTGTGATGGATTGACCACTGCTGGTCTACTTGTAACACCCAGCTGAACTAAACCAGCATAGTATTGGGTGTGGGAGGCCCACTTAAGGATAATTACCGGGAGCATAAGAGTCAGAAGTGGAAAAGGAAGCTGTTAGGGAGCTGTTGTTATCCTGGAAGTGCTTGTCATGCTATCTTTACTGATGAACTACACTGTTCTCATTGAAGAAGCTCAGGACCTGGTTGTCACTAAGAATGGCTACAGTTCACTTTGGGGGAACTCAGGTCCTTACTTTGATCATCATTTCCTGGCTCCAGGGGAGATGTTGCACTGTTCAGTCTCCTGGAGAAGCTTGTCCCTTTGGCTTTCCTAACAGGAGCTTGATTGTTCTCATCATGAGAGGAGCTTGGAACCTGACTGTCACTGAGAATGGCTGTGGTAACTTTTGCGGAAGCTC